CTCCCTCTCCCTCTCCCTCTCCCTCTCCCTCTCGTTCTCCCTCTCCTTCTCGCTCCCGCTCCCGCTCCCGCTCCCGCTCCCGCTCCCGCTCTCGCGCACGCGCTCTCTCTCTCTCTCAACCCATCCCTTCCGGGAAAGTCCTTTTCTGTCCCATGTGCCTTGCTTTGTGACTTGTTTCCCCATTTGATCCCTATTTAATCAATATTTACCTAGTGACTATACTTGTAATCTTATTGTTTGACCATAGTTTTGTCCCACCTCACACTCCTCCTACGATTTGCCAATGGACCAATATCACATAAGCGACTATACTTGTAATCTCATTGATTGGTTACTGTTCTATCCCAACTTAAGCCTGCCTCACCTTAGGGCTTTGCTCAATAAACACCCTTAAGAAGTGTTAATGAGCAACTCACTTTTCAGGCTCCCTTCTGTCCCTGTCGGACAGAAGCTTTCTTTCTCTCAATAAATTCTTCCTACTTTAAAAAAAAAAAAAAAAAAGTAGACCCAAGCTAGGGACGCAGCTCAGTGGTAAAGTATGTGCTTAGCACGCGGAGCTCCTGGACTCTATCCCCAACACTAACCTCCTCCCACTAAATGAAAATAAAACCAAAACAAGGCACAAAGCAAACGATTTCAAGTGGACTTAGGGGGTACTTGATGGGCTGATGGCTATGACCTATACTGCTTAATTGTTTACCCAAGGAGTCAGTGCTGAATTTCAAATGACTGAAGAACTGGGCTGTATGTACAGTCCCTGTGAAACAGCTACAGATCAGAATATTTTCAAAGAAGTCAAGAAAGTACTGAATATAGCCTGAAGTAGAGTCTGCTAAGATATATTACAAATATGTATGAAGCAGCAAAAGATTTAGTTGGACAAATGTACATAGCTTGTGGAATGCAAATCGTTTAAGTCACATGGCTATTTGTTATATTATTAAGCAGCAGGTCCTTTGCAGCAAAATAATTGAATCTGCTTTATCTTGTGCTATTTTAAAAGATGTCTTTCTTTCATATTTTTTTCCTGCAGTAATAGGGATTCACTTCAGGGCCTTCTCACTGAACTACTTCCCTTGCTCTTTTAAATATTTTTATTATTTATTTTGAGACAGGGTCTTACTAAGTCACCAAGGCTGAACTTGAATTTATGATCCTCCTGCCTCAGTCTCCCAGAGTGCTGGTATTACAGGTGTGTACCACCATGCCTGGCTCTATTTTTTTGTTTTGTTTTGTTTTTTGTTTTTTGTCTTTTTGAGACAGGGTCTCACTATGCAGTTCAGGCTGGCCTGGAGCTCACTTTGTAGACCAGGCTGTTCTCTAACTCACAACGATCCTCCTGCCTCAGCCTCCTGAGTGCTGGGATTACAGGCGTGAGCCACCACCCCCGGCTGTCTTCTGTTACTGAATGAATAGTGTCAACAGTGAACTTCATTCACTGTCATGGGCTGAACCATTGTCAGTTCCTTGAATTCTGTCAGAAGTGGAAGTTGAGAAGCCAGGTGTGGTGGTGCACATCTGTAATCCCAGCATTGGGAGGCTGAGGCAGGAGGATGAGGATCACTGTGAGTTTGAGGCCAGCCTGGACTACATAGTGAGTTCAAGTCCAATCTGATGTACATGGTGAGACCCTGTCTCAAAACAACAAAAAACAAAAAAAAACAACTCCCCAAACCCAAATAAATATTAAGGTAGGATATTTTTGACTTGTCCTGCCAATAATAGTTCAATAGCTTAACAGTGGCAAAATTTATTGAGATTTATTTGAGCTCAGATCTGTGATTGAAAATTGTCTGAATGATAACAGACACTCTCAACTACTATTATTGAACACCAAATGGCTTTGGGGAGTATCTTTTGCTACAGACTTGATAAAGTTTCTTAGTGATTTTAACCTAAAATCACAAAACAAAGATTGCAAATATAATACTTATACTGTAGTAAAATCATTCAGCTTAAAAACTAACATTGAATTACAAGCTGCATTTTTCATATATTTAGGTAAATGCACAGAACATTTATATATTTCAAAAAAAAAAAACCTGTTTAACTGTACAGCTGAACTTCATTCAGAGGTGATTAATCTGCAACACAAGGACATGCTAATAGCTAGGGGGTATGGTCAATGGTAGAGTGCTTTCCTAGCATGGGCAAGGCCCTGGGTTTGATCCCCAGCACTGCAAATCAAAACAAAAAGAATGGTCTTATAAATTCATGTTCATTTAAGGGCTGGTGGACTGTTTTAAATTCCCAGTCCTGACAGTTTCTGAGCTGAGGAACGCACAGTGGAAGATGTTCCTTTTACTTGGGACACAAAGATTTCTCCTCTGCAACTAACTTGCAAGATTAGAGGCTAGTACCCAGTATATGTAAAGAACTCTTACAGCTCAACAATAAAATGACAAATAACCTGATTTAAAATGTGCGAAGGATTCGAATAAATGTTCTTCTCAAAAGATATATAAGTGGCCAATAAGTGCATGAACAGATGTTTGGCATCATTAATAATTAGAGAAATGCAAATCAAGGCCACAATGAAATATCATTTCATATCCACCAAGATGGCAATAATAATAATAATAATGATAATAATGACAATAACAATTATTGGCAAGAGTATGGAGAAATCAGAACCCTCATACATTGCTGGTGGGAATGTAAAATTGTGCAGCTGCTTTGAAAACACTCTAATCGTTCCTCAAAAGGTTAAACATAGACTTACCATCTGATCTAGGAATTCCGTTCCTAAGTATACATCTCAAAGAAATGAAACCAGTTGTCCTCACAATAATTCGTATATAAAAGTTCATAGCAGAATTATCTGTAAAAGTCATAAGTGGTAACAAGGCCAGTGCTAATCAATTAATGAATGGATAAACAAACTATGGTATATCCTATTCGCACAATGAAAAAGTACTACAATATGAACTTTGAGAACATGTTAAGTGAAAGAAGCCAGATGAATGACCACATTTTGTATAATTCTGTTTATATAAAATGTTGAGCATATGCAAATCTATAGAGATTGAAAGTAGAATAGTGGCTGCCAAGGGCTGGAAAGGAGGCAGATAGTGACTACTAATAGGTTAGGGATTTCTTCTTGAGATAATGAAAATGTTCTCGAATTAGATAATGGTGATGCTTGCACAATTTAGTGAACATCCTAATACTTACTGAATTCTACACTATATAAGGATGAATTTTTATGTGAGTTATACCTTTAGGAAACTAAAGGAAAACGCTTGTGGTTCATGAGGTACTCGTCGTGAATACTATTAAAATAGAAATCAGGTGTGCTGCTGTAATCCTAGCCTTCTGGGAGGCCGAGACAGGATGACTGCCAGTTCGAGCCCAATCTCGGTAAATAGGCAATTTAGATATTTAGCGAGACCTTGTCTCCAAAAAAAGGGAGAGGGGACTGGGGATGTAGTCAGGATTAAAGTCCTGGATTCAATCCCCAGTACCGCAAAAGAAAATCATATTTACAGCCACACTTAAAATCTGTATTATGGATATGTGTATAGTCTTTTCTCACATATATGTACGTGTATGTATGAAATGTATTTATGGTATGTAAATAACTTAAATGACATCGAGGGTGTCACAACTAAAGTAGTCCCGGCTAATTTCGCCTAGGCGATGGAGGCTCTCAGTGGCTCAAGGAGGCCCCCGTGCATCCTAGCCTGATGGGACCGCCCGGAAGTTCACAAGCTACTACCACGTGACTGACTGACAAACGGCTCTCGTGTGAAAAGACCTGGCGCAGGTTTGTGACGTTACGTTACGTGTTTCTTTTGCCACATGCTGTTTTGGTTACTCTTGGGAACATGCCGAAAGTAGTGTCTCGGTCGGTGGTTTGCTCAGATACCCGGGACCGCGAGGAATATGACGACGGCGAGAAGCCTCTCCACGTCTACTACTGTTTGTGTGGTCAGATGGTCCTGGTTCTGGGTGAGTAGACGAGAACTGGAGGGAGCCTGCCGGGACCTAGATCTCCGGTCCTTGAGGGTGACTTTCCTTTGGCTGTGGTCTGGGACCTGTCTCTCACTGAAGCTTGTTGTGTTTTTTCCTTTCCACCAGAGTCTCCCTGCGCATTCCTGCTCCTCTCCAGGGCATATTTTTCCCGTTTTCTATCTAACCTTGTAACTTTGTATCGAGACTTCCTCAAAACTAAAGTCCTTTCAAAGCTGTAACTTTCCTCACAGTACACTCTTCAAAGGTGTTGCCTCTGTACTTTGTAAGTTTGCTGCCAGATACGAAGATTATGTAATAGCCCACATTTTAGGATGAATGAAAATAAAATCTTTTTTTGACCCATCGTGTCCCTTCAGAGCGTGTGTGTGTGTGTGTGCGTGTGCGTGTGCGTGTATATGTGTATGTGTTTGGCAGTACTGGGGATTAAACTCAGGGTTTTGTGCATGCTAGGCAAGCGCTGTATCACTGAACTCCATCCTCAATCCTCCCTCCAGCTTTAAGCCCATGTCTTTCTTTTATAGCAAAACTTCTCAAAAGAGTTGTTATTGACTGCTTCTTGACCTACTTCCCGTAGACTTTCCTTACCACCTCACTATCTAAACCATATTTGTCAAGGTTAGTACTGAGTTCCATATGACTGAGTTCCATATGACCAGTTCCAGTGGCCAATTGTCGGTGTTCATTTAATCCCCCTCTCAGTGGCATTTCAAAGAGAGGACCGCTTTTTGGGGGGAGGAGGGTACTGAAGCTTGAACCCAGGGCCTAGGGCATACTAGGGAAGCTCTCTACCATTGAACCACATCCCTAGTCCCATTTTTCTTGTGACACATTCATTTGCTTCTAGGACTTCACACATTCCTGATTTTTCACCTGCCTCAGCTTTTGCCTTTTCTTAAGAGTCTGATATTCTCACCTATTCTTACTCTGTAGGTGATCTGAACTATCCTCCAGGTTTAAATATCATCTGGTTGCTGATGACTCCTAGGTGTTCATTTTTAACCTGCACCTGTCCTCAAAATCCACATGCCTTTTCATCATCTTCACTTGGATGTCTAACGGGTCTCTCACATCTGTCTTCTAAAAATTGAATTCATGATCCCCTGGTCCCTGTTCTCTGTTCTGTGTTACAGTCGGCAGTACTGCTACTCGTTCAGTGTATCACTTGGAAGAGTGAATAAGCTAGCATGAAACTGCCTAGTGTTCTCTAACTCCTCTCCTGACCTCCATTAATCTCGAATCACTCTGACCATTTTCATTTTTCTGTGATTCTTAAGATACTTCACTGCATTGTATCAGTTTTCTATCTGCTTTATAATTGTACTTGATTTTTTTTTTTTTTTTTTGATGAGGGGTTGAGACAGGGTCTTGCCTTGTATTTCAGGCTGACCTTAAATTCACTATGTAGCCCAAACTGGCCTAGAGCTTGCAGTGATCCCCTGGCCTCAGCCTCCTGAGTGTTAGGATTACGGGCATGTGCCACCACACCTGGCTTGTATCTGATTTATTTCATGTGTCTTCAGATTAAAACTAGGTTTCTCATTTGCATACTAGATATTTATATCATCTACTCTCTCTCCTTTTCTTAACACTCATCCCCTTTTCCCATTGCCTTCCTCATCGGCTTTCTAGGATGCTTGGTTGTCTCTTCTGACTCTAATGCAGTGTAATACATACCCGTGTGCTATCACACAAACACTTACTCATAGAAACCTGAGCTGCAGCGCTGGGAAGTTGTTTTGAGATAATATATTCTACTCATCTGTCAAATAAGGAAAATGTCCCTGAAGGAGGAAGTGATTTGCCAGAGATAACTAGGGAAATAATAGAGCTGGGATGAAAACTAAAGTATTCTGACATCAAGCCATTTTAAGTTGGGAAATTTGATATAAGTTTGAACGACATGGTAGTTATAGTAGAAAGTTACAGTGTAAAGGGCCCCACTGAAAACTTCTGATTAGCTTGAGTGACCCAGTCTTTTTCCATTTCTTTAGATTGTCAGCTAGAGAAGTTACCCATGAGACCCCGGGACAGATCCCGTGTGATCGATGCTGCCAAACATGCCCACAAGTTTTGTAACACAGAAGACGAGGAGACTATGTATCTTCGGAGGTAAGGAATTGATATCCTTTGTCTAGAATTTCACTGTTGTATTGGGGTCTGTTTCTGAAGAATGTAAATATCCTACCTAATGTTGAACAGCTCATCCAGTTGCATCCGTTATGACCTTTGTGGTAGTTTTCTAACTTCTGTTAACACGTTCACATGGACCCATAATTTGTGTCTCACTGCCGGGTGGTTTGAACCACCAGTGGTATATATATAACTGTGCCATTTCTGCCGCCGGTGGTACCAGCCACTTTATGAGACGTCTTGCATGTACCACTGGTGGTTCAAGCCTACAGGAATGTGTGTTTGTTTGTTTGTTTCCAGTACTGGGAATCGAACTCACAACCTTGTGCTTGCCAGGTAGGTGCTGTGCCGTTGAGCTAAATCCCCAGCCCCAAAACTTTTTTTTTCCCGGTACTGGGAATCGAACTCACGACCTTGCGCTTGCCAGGTCGGCACTGTGTCCCTGAGCTAAATCCCCAGCCGCTAGGAATGTGTTAATGCAGCAGAATCTTTATTGGGCTTTGTTGAAAAATGGTGCTGAGATGTGATTCCATTGCGATTTGATAGTTGTAATATGACCACAAATTACAGCTTTCAGTTAGTTGATGCAGCCTTTGTAGCATGCCATATACCAGGCACTGAGCTAGGTACTAGGTCTATGAATGAATAAGGCCCAGGGTTTAGCATTAACCATCTCATGACTGAGTGAGAGAAGGGGCTACCAGTTGAGAAAGGAAGAAATACTGGTGTTGTGAACTAAGGGTTATGGGAAAACAAGTAGAAACTTGCAGTCCTCCTGCCTCAGCTTCCCTAGTGGTCTGTGCCACTATGCCCAGTTTATGAGTTTGACAATTTTAGATTCCACAAATAAATGAGATCATGCAGTATTTGTCTTTCTGTGTCTGGTTTACTTCGTGTAACATATATTCTCCAGGTTCATCCATGTTATCACAAATGGTAAGATTTCCTTCTTTAAAACTGGATAGTAATTTTTGTGAGTGTGCATCCACTCATCTGTCCATAGACATTTAGGTTGTTTACCTTAGCCTCCCAAGTAGCTAGGATTGGTGTGTGCCACCATGCCTAGCCAGGCACTCCTATGCCTGTGGATATCCAGTTTTCCTATCACCATTTGTTGAACATAGTTCCCCTTTTTCATTCTGTGGTCTTTTTTTTTTTTTTCCATCTTTTTGAGACAGGGTCTCGCTATGCAGTTCAGAGTGGCCTTGAGCTCACTTTGTAGCCCAGGCTGTTCTCAAACTCACAACGATCCTCTTGCCTCAGTCCCCTGAGTATTGGGATTACAGGTGTGTGCCACCACACCCGGCCATTATGTGTTCTTGGCACCTTTGTTGAAGATAAATGCAGTTGACTATAAGTGCACGTATTTATTTGTGAACTCTTTTCTTACATTGATTGATTTTTGCATGTTGTCCCAGTCATATATTCCTAAGAGAGATTCCACTTGGTCATGTTATATATATTTTTTCAATATTCTGCTGGATTCAGTATGCCAGTGTCTTTTGAGGACTTGCATGTCTATTTTCTCTTTTGTGGCGGGAGCAGTAGGTGGGATAGAGCCCAGGTCCTGGTGCATGCTATACAAGCCCTGTACCACTGAGCTATCCCAACTTGTGTATATAATTCTTCAGCAATATTGATTTTCATTTTTTTGTTTGATGTCTTTGTTTTTGCTATCAGAGCAAAACTGACCTCAAAGAATGAATTAGGAACTGTTCTCTTTCTCTTTTTTTGTAAAAGGTTTATTGGAGGTTTAATGGAGCTTATTTTTTGTACTTTTGCTAAAATTGAACAGTAAAGGCTCTGGTCCCACCTTTTTCTTTGATTACTAATTCCATCTCTTTTACGTGTTATAATCTATTCAAATTTCTGGTTCTTTTTGAATGAGCTTTGGCAGTGTGTATCATTTTTTCATTTGAGGAACTTGTTTATTCTAGGCTAATTTGTTGTCATATAATTGCTCATGGTATAACCTTATAATCATTTTATATTGATAAGATTGATAGTACACTCTTGGTTTTGTAAGTCCCAATAATAGACTGTTTGTATTTCTCAGAGTGTGCTGTGTAGCTTTCCTTTATGTGTAGCATTCCTGCTGCCAGAAATGCCTTTTTTTTTTTTTTTTTTTTTGGTCTCGCTGTGCAGTTCAGGCTGGCCTTGAGCTGACTTTGTAGCCCAGGGTGGTCTCGAACTCGCAATGATCCTCCTGCCTCAGACTCCCAAGTGCTGGGATTACAGGCGTGCACCACCATGCCTGGCTTCTTTATTCTTTAGAGATGCCATTTTCCATCAAGACTGTCAACTTGAACATCACCTTCTCATGAAGCGTAGAGACTGGTGCTCCCACCTCTGTGTTGCCATTACACCTTACATATTCCTCCATTTAAGAATTTACCTCCTTAACTATGATTGTCCTCACTAAATTGAATTCTTAAGAGAATTCATTCAACCAGTGTTTATTGCATATATATTTTGCATCCATTACACTGGTCAGTTCTAGGGATAGAGTGATGCAATAGTCCAAATTCTGCTCTCGTGGATGGGATTACAGAAAGTTAGTAAACAGAAGAAACAAGTAATTATGATTGTGGAAAGCCATATGAATGAAACAAATGGCTGGTACAGAGAATCACATGAGATCCTCTTAGAAAAGGTGGTCAGGGAAGGTCCTGACTAGGTTATATTTGAAGTGAGACCGAGAAAGATGACAGTGGGATGCCATGGCAACATGGTGAGCACATTACAGGCAGAGGGAAAAGCATGTGTGTGGGAATGGTCACGGGTTGTAGGCATGCATTTGCTCAAGGGACAGAAGGAAGACTGGTGTGGCTGGTGCAGAGGGAGGCACTGTATGAGATAAGGCAGGGGCCCAATGATATACTCAGTGGGTACCTGGTTGGACATGGGAAGGACTTTAGATCTTGTTCCCGGTGTCTGATGCAGTTACACTTACCTCTACAGTATTTAGAGAATGATTTGAAGTAAGACAGTAGTGGAAGCAGATTTAGAATAAGTGGTTAAGAATTTTGTTTTAAATATGAATTCAGAGTGAGGAAGATTTAACTAGGTATAACATACACACTAAAAAAATAAAGGTTGCTTTGGTAACAAAATCTAAAATTTCTACATGGTGAGCTGGGCGTAGTGGTGCATGCCTGTAATCCCAGCACTTGGGAGGCGAAGGCAGGAGGATCATGCAAGTTCTGAGACCAGCCTGGATTACAAAGTGAGCTCAAGGCCAGTCTGAACTGTATAGCGAGACTCTGTCTCAAAAAGGCAAACAAGCAAACAAACAAACAAAAAAAAACAATTTACACATGGTGGAAAAATATCACATAGATGACAAATAGGAAGAAATATTTGTAAGGCCCCTTCACATTGGCAGGTCTCTTTAATATAAAATTTAAAAATGACTCATCAGACAAAAGATATGAACTGACAGTTTACAAAAAATACAAAAGATTATTAAATTTATGAAATGAGGTGTATCTTCACTCTTAAAAAAGCAATACAAATTAGGAGATCTCATTTTTCACATGTGAGATTGGCAGGAATGCAGTTTAGTAACACAGCGTTGTAGGGAACAACTGAATACATGAGTATAAATTGGTCCAAGTTCTGTAGGGAGTGACTTGGCAGTATCTACCAAGTTTTAAATGTATATTCTTCTAGGAATTTATCCAACAGGGAAAAGACATTTTGGTTATACATGTAGAGGAGTACAATGCAGTTCTTGTAAAGAATGAAGTAGCTATTGATTGATCAATGTGGAAGAATCACTTATATGAGTGTGTATATGTGTATGTGTGTATATATATGTATATTTATGCTTTACAAAAACAGGATACATTTTGAAGTGATTAAAAAAGGTAGAGAACAGTGTAAAGTATGGTAGATGCATCTAAAAAGGGAAAAATATTCTTTATGTACTGGGCTTAATGGTAGAGTACTTGTTGAACGTTTCAAGGTCCTGGATTCCATCACCAGTAATCCCCTCTTAAAAAAATTCCAGAAGCTGAATGTGGTTTTACATGGACTGAAATCCTAGCACTCTGGGAGACTGTGATGGAGGATTGCAAATTTGAATCCAGGCTGGGCAACTTAACTGTCTCGAACAATAAAAACATGGCTGTGGATGTGGCTTAGTGTGAAGGCTTGAGTTCAATCCCCAGTGTTCCCTCCCACCACAAAAAAATGTAGAGTGCTTGCCCTGTATGTATCTGTCAGGGTTATTGTGCTTGTGTATACATCGACTGTCTCTGAGATAAACACAAAAAAACAGAAACATTTTGCCTCCGAGGAAAGGAACCAAGTGTGTAGAGGATAAGTGGAGAGGGTATTTACTTCTCATTTTATACTCATATATGTACTGTGTTACATATATTGACTATTAATAATTGAAACAAGGGGTAAAATGAGACCAATCAGGAATTTGTTATTATAGTCCAGGGAATTGGTAACGGGGCAGGAAGATGGAAAAGAAGGCAGGTTCAAGATTTTTTTTTTTTTTTTTTTTTTTTGGTTAGCGGTGGTAACACAAGCCTGTAATCCCAGCTACTTAGAAAGATGATACAGAAGATTCACAAATTTGAAGACAGCATGGGCAATTTAGGGAGATCTTATCTCAAAATAAAATTTTAAAAGTGCTGGGGTATTGTTAAAGCACTTGCCTAGGCATGCATGAGGCTGTGGTGTCCATCCCTAGCACTGCAATAAAAAAATCTTTTTTTGGAGATAAAATCCATTGCATTTGATGGTGAAATAAGTGTGAGATAGAGAAGGAGAAGAATCAAGGATGTCTCAGATTTCTGTTAAGTAACTGGTGGATGGAATTGAGCTTTTTATTTATGCATTGGTTATCTACGGCATTATTGTGTGGGCTCTTGAGCTGGACTGTGGGGCTTGAATTTAACCTCTTTATTTCTTAGGACTATGACATTGTACAAATTGTGTAAACTGGTGTTTTGGATTTTTTTTGGAACCAGGAATTGATTTGAAGACCTTGTGCTTGCCAGGCAGGTGCCATGCTGCTGAGCTATACACCCAGCCCCAAATCGTGTAAACTTGCACTTAGATTCCCTCTTCTATTAAATGAGATTAATAATATGAGCTACTCAAAACATTGTTGTAAGAATTAAATGAGTCCATTCCTGTGTATATTTTAGAATAACTTCTAGCATATGGTAAAAGGTACATAGTTGTCCCTCTGTGTGTGTGCGGGGGGATTGATTCCAGGGCCTCCTGCCAGTACCAGAACCTGCTGATGCTTGAGTCCTTTAGGTAAAAAGACATAGCATTTACATATTAACCACTCACATCTTACCATGTGCTTATGATACTCATGCAGTGTAAATGCTGTGTCAATTATTGTTACACTGTATTTTTAGAGAATAATGACAAGAAAATAACTTTATATGTGTTTATTACTGACAGTATTTTCCAATATTTTTGATCCATGCGTGGTTGGTAGAATCCACAGGTATAGAACCCATAGATATGGAGGGCTGATTATAGAAGTGTTGTTGCTATTAATGTTGTTCCTACAGCTATAATTGCTACTCTGTATTGCTTCTCTCTTTCCTCCTCTCTCAGGGAGATAGATACCTGGCCCATGTTAGGGGCTCAGTAAGTACAGGAAGGAAGGAATGCTGGACCTTTGAAATTCATACATGTTTAACCAGTTCATCTATGAAATGAAAACTTTTTGAAAGGCACTTTTAGCATGTGTAGAAATGAGGTGGTGAGATTAATAGGTTGTAAGATTTGTTCCTTTTTATTTTTTAACTTCCATTTTCTGTGCAGGCCTGAAGGCATCGAAAGACAATATAGGAAGAAGTGTGCAAAGTAAGTATGAACAGTGTAGGTTTCTCCAAGCATAGTCAAATAGAAGCATAATATGTTAGGAAAAATAATACTCAAATGTAATTTTCTGTTATGCCTCTATCCTTATCTCAACTGCCTTCAAATCAAATACTAACATACTTCAAGAGATTAGTCAAGCCTATCGTGTGAATTTGCATGATAACCTGTACTGTATTTCTCAGATGCAGTGCGTACTTTATTTTTGCTTTTACCCTCTTTTTTCTTTATTCAGCCCCAGTTTACTCTGCAGAGCTGTTTCTCCGATACTCATTTACCCCACACTTTTCAAATAAACATTTGGCAAAAAAAAGAAAAGAAAAGAAAAAAAAGACAAAGTTACATCCCTGACCAGCTGACCACAAAAGTAAATGTTTAGCATAGTATAATTTTTAAAAATTGAGATGTGATTTATATATAATAAAATTTGCCCATTTTTGCCAGGTATGGTGGTACACCCCTGTAACCCCAGCACTGGGGAGGCTGAGGGAGAGGATTGCAGCAAGTTCAAGGCCAGCATGGGCTACGTAGTGAGTTCAAGGCCAACTTGGACTATGTAGTGAGTTCCTGTCTCAAAAACAAAAACAACAACACAAAATGCCTTTTTTTTTTTTTTTGTCTTTTTGAGACAGGGTCTCACCATGCAGTTGAGGCTGGCCTTGAGCTCACTTTGTAGCCCAGGCTGGCCTCGAACTCACAACGATCCTCCTGCCTCAGCCTCCCAAGTGCTGGGATTATAGGCGTGCGCCGCCACGCCCGGCACAAAATGCCCATTTTAAGTGTACACTTTGGTGAGTTTTGATGAAAGAATAGTCATATAATATCATCACCATTATAAGTAATTTCCAGTACTTCATGTGTCCTTTGCAGCCAGTCTCCTTCCTCTGCTCCTTTCTTCTGTTAGCAACTGCTTTCTGTCACTATGGTTTAGCTTTTCTTAAAATTTTATATAAATTCTACATACGTGTTCTACTAAGTACAATATATATCTTTTGCACCTGGCTTTTTAACATTTAATATAATGTTTCAGGAATTCATTCAAGTTGGTATGTGTGTCAATCATTTGTTTTTCTTTGTTGCTGAGTAGTATTCTACTATATCACAGTTTGTTTACCCATTCATTCATCCAAGGACATTTGAGTTGTTTCTGACTTGGGCTATTACCAGTAAAGCTGCTGTGAACATTCTATTGTAAATCTTAGTGTAAACATTTGTTTTCTGTTGTAGTAGGATAGACTGGGGCATATGGTAAGTGTAATTTAGTCCAGACCTATTTATAAAGTCAATTATAGGATCATAGACCTAAGATTCTTAAAGAATTTCATTTAAGGCAAAAAAGTATGTATATTTCCAGCTGTAGGCTAGTAACAGTGAAAATATTAAACTATAGTAAATTCAGTCTTTTTTTGGTACTGGGAATCGAACTCAGAACCTTGCACTTGCCAGGCAGGCACTTATGCCACTGAGCTATATCCCCAGCCCAATAGGTTCAGTCTTAATATAGTTACATCACCAGGTTTGGTGGCACAAGCCTGTAATCCCAGCACTCGGGAGGCTGAGGCAGGGGGATTGTTATGAGTTCAAGATCAGCCTGAGCTACAAAGTGAGTTCAAGGCCAGCCTGAACTGTATAGTGAGACTGTCTCAAAAAGACAAATAAATAAATGAAAATATAGTTATATCTTAACTGCCAATATACTCAGATTAGAAGAATTAAAGCAATGGAAATGGATAAGAAGGCATTTTAGTCCCCAACTCTGCTAGATGGGTGAAATTGGTTTTATCCTTTCTTGTAGTTCTGTGTTGTTTAGCTCAAAAAGTATAACAATGGCCAGCCAAAGAAAATGGCAATTACTGGATGGATTGGTTTGCCAACCACTACAGTGGTGCCTTTATGCTTCCCCACTACCAAAACAAAACAAAACAAAACAAAACAGAAAACTGCTAGACAAAATGCCCAAGCCAGTTACTCAGATGCCTAGGAAGAATGGTAGCAGTTTTAACTGCAAAGCAATCAGTAGCATGAGCCAGTGTTGCCTAAATTCATCTAGTAAGAATCACTTTGGGACACTGTTTACAATGGCAGATTCCCAGGCCTCACCCCTACAGTTCCTGAAACAGGATCTTCTGGAAGGGACCCAGGAATCTGATCAGCAATTTTAACAATACTCTAAGGGATGCCTATCAGCTTGTTTTATGAAAGACAGTGAAGAGCTAATCACTAGTTTATGCCACAAACATCGGTATTCCCAGAGTCTAAGTTCATTTTGCAGATCACTGTTGGGGGATTTGGAATGGAGACCACCCAGCGATTCACTCTGCTATTTGCAGGTGTGGACTCCCACTGTTCTACCAGTCCCAGCCAAAGAATGCTCCGGTGACCTTCATTGTGGATGGAGCAGTAGTGAAGTTTGGCCAGGGTTTTGGGAAAACAAATATATATACCCAGAAGCAAGAGCCTCCCAAGAAGGTAATTATCATTAAAGGAGATGCATGCATGGCACGACTGCTTAATATAGTTACAGATTTTGTCTTAGATTTTTAAATAAGGATAACAGCACATGAGAAACTGCCTTTAATGGATGCATTCTTTGTCAAGAGAATGCCATTGTTGTCTCTAAGCATATGTTACAGAATTACAGCACCTATTATTTGTTCTCTTTTCTTTTCTACAGTTGCCTGATGAATAAGGTTTTTATTCTCATTTATTTTCTTCAAAACTTCTAGTGTGAACAGTTAAACGCAGAATGAATTGGGCTTATTTAAAAATGTACTTTAGAGGGGCTGGGGATTTAGCTCAGCGGCAAAGCGCCTGCCTGGCAAGCGCAAGGTCGTGAGTTCGGTTCCCAGTACCGGAGAAAAACCAAAAAAAAAAAAAAAAAAAGAATTATAAAAATGTACTTTAGGGCCGGGGATATAGCTCAGTGGCATAAGCGCCTGCCTGGCAAGCGCAAGGTCCTGAGTTTGATTCCCTGTACCAAAAAAACAAAACAAAACAAAACAAAACATAAAAATAAAAATAAAATAAAATAAAATGGAATTCTTGATGGTAAATATTAGAAAAATATAATGTAAATAAAAACATTGGTACTTTTAGATACGTGGAATTTCCTGTAAAGGTAGGTGGGTGTTCCGCTCCCTTCCCTCAGCCCTACACACAGGGATGTGCGTGTGCGCACTCACACATGGCTCATAGATCCGTTGGGATGAACTAGACTGTCTCCTCATCCTGTGGCTTCAGGTGATGATGACCAAACGGACTAAGGACATGGGCAAGTTCAGCTCTGTCACCGTGTCTACCATTGATGAAGAAGAAGAGGAGATTGAGGCTGTAAGTGGTTCTGCTCTCTAGGAAGCTGGAATTGGGGGTGGGAGGAATGGAGACTTGGCATCACTGAGCCTCTCTTTGGGCCAAAACAATTAGAGATTTTGCTTTCAAACCCTGCTCTCCTAGGAAGAAACTGTATGACACCAGGCCAGTGCCTGCTTCCCTGGATCTCAGGAACATCTGTAAAATGAGCACAAGGGAGTTGGATCCAGTTAATTTCTTCAATTTAAAAACTTCTGTGCTATCTGGGGGTGTAGATCAAGGTAGAGTCCTTGCCTCACATGCGCAAGGCTCTGGGTTCAAGCTCCAGCACTGTACAAAAACCAAAACCAAACAAACAAGCAAAGCAAATGGTCAGACCTCTGGACTAATGACTTCAGGTCTTTTTCCTGTCAAGCTCTGATGGTTTGTGAGTCTGTCCTTAGCAGCAGCAGCAAGTACCTTTCTGGTTCTTCAGTAGGATGACGTTTATGGAGAGCTGTGACGTTTATGGATGACGTTTATGGAGAGCAGTAGCCAGAAGTGGTGGTGTGTGCCTGTAATCCCAGCACTCTGGCAGGCTCAGGCAGAAGGATGAGAAATTCAAGCCCAGTTTGGGCAACTTATCGACTTAGTGAGAGCCTGTCTCAAAATAAAAAATGCAAAGGGTTGAGGATGTAGCTTAGTGCAAAGGTCCTGAGTTCAGTCCCCAGTACCAAAAACAAAACAAAACAAAAAAACAAAACCCAAAATGTGTGCTCTATAATTTTAAAAATGATCTTGCTTGACACCTGAACTCTCCTGAGTTATTGAAAGATGAAGTGTTGAAAGGGAGTAAAAAGTTGCCATTTTGGTAACAACTTCGTGACTTGAACGGCATAAATTGCTACCATGGCGTTCACTGTGGTTTCTTAGAGTACTGATTTAAGGATGATGCTTTTTCCTTTAGAGAGAAGTTGCTGATTCGTATGCCCAGAATGCCAAAGTGATTGAAAAACAGCTGGAGCGTAAAGGCATGAGCAAGAGGCGACTGCAAGAGCTGGTAAGTGGCATGGGTAGATAGCTGCTGGGCTACACTGCTTGGATTTCTTGCTCTGGACAACCATCCAGCAGGGAGAAACTTTAAGAAGCCTGTTGGGAATGAGCTCTGACTGCAGGATCTAGGCTGTAAATGAAAACATTTGTTAAATAGCCCTTGCCTATAATCCCAACACTTCAGAGGTTGAGGCAGGAGAATTGCGAGTTCGAGGCCAGCCTGAGCTATACAGTGAGTTCAAAGCCAGTCTGAAATACATAGTGAGAACCTGTCCAAAAATAACTAAATGTAATAAAACCCCCTACCTAGGATAATACTGTATTTTAATCTTCTGTTTGTGGGGAGTTAAAGATGAAGATAGGGAGTTAAAGGTTAGGGTTTCTGGGTGTTTTCTCAGGTTTGGGATAGTGCACAGGAGTGTTACTTGGTGGTACCTGAATCAGGGCTGGTCTTTGCTTCTTAAAGGTCATTGCTTCTTAACATACTGGTAGTTTTCTGTGTTATTTATAGGCTCATTTTAGAGCATATACTTCTGTTTATTATGGTGACTTCATTTTTGTTTTTTTTGATCATTTACTTAAAATGTTTCATTAAATTCAGACTGATCCTCTTGTAATAACTAGTGGGTTTTTGGTGATAGAGGTGTTGGGCCATGGTTACTGCTTTTTACCTTGCTGTACTTGAGAGCAGTGTTTCTGAAGTTTTCTAAAATTAAAGTCAGTGCTTTCTTTTTCTTTAATTTCTTATTTTGTAATTTGTATATTTCTAAATTGTAGAAAATGAATTGACCTCAACTGTTCTGTTTTTTAAATTCTGGAAATTGAACCTAGGGGCCTGTACATGCTAGGCAAGTACTCTGCCATTGAACTACATCCCTGTCTTTTTAAATTTTTATTTTAATCTTATATTTGCACTGGGGAGTGAGCTACATCCCCAGCCCATTTCTTAAATTTTTGATTTTGAGACAGTGTCTCCCTAAGTTGCCCAGGCTGGCCCAGAGTGATCCTCCCGCCTCAGCTTCCTGTGTAGCTGGATTTATTGGTGTGTATCACCAGGACCCAGTTTTCAATTTGTATTATTACTTTCCTTTATTATTACCATGCCCATTGTTATACAAGTTTTTTAAATATTTGCTTTTAATTTTTATATATATGTTGCACGGACTGATAATAGTTCACAGAGCACACAATTTTGAGTAGTACTGTTCTGGAATGGTGTTTTTCCTGTTCTTTTAAGAATTGGACAGTGGTATGCCGTAATACTGGTTTCCTCAGCCCTTTGGAAGTACTAGAGCTCCCAGGATCCCTGCATTCATTGTCTTGGGCCACAGCCTTGTATATTTACCTATGAATATATTTGACCTACAAATATTATTTTCTTTGTATGCTATAACATCAGAAAAGTTGGGGAGCAGTTGCTAGAGATGTGTAAGGATTTTAGAATCACTTCTAGTTTGTACACTAAATGAACATTAAGGGAGAGTGTCTGGAATAGTTGGAATAAGGAAGGAAACATAAGAATTTCATTTCATGTATCAAGACATATGCCGTTTTTTCTTTTCCAGGCTGAACTAGAAGCCAAGAAAGCGAAAATGAAGGGAACTTTGATTGACAACCAGTTCAAGTGACAGGACCTTGTTCTGATCTCTGACCAGAAGCAAGCATTTAGATACAGAAGAAAAATAATTTGCTTATGTAGACTGGTTTCTATTTATGCCCCAGAAGAAGGCTCTTATATGTTGCTTCCTATTGATTCTCCTACGTTCAGTGAGGTCTTTCAGTCCATTTGACCTGCTTTCTGTGAAATGGGTTGTTCTATATCTTTCTCTATATAGATTTTCTGTACTATTTTTTGTCCATGTGATGTAAACTTCTTCAGCTGTGTGGAAACTATGAATAGATTAATGCTTGAGTGTCTCTAGTTTCTAAAATGGCTGTTATTTAAAAAAAAAAGGAGGGGGTAACCCCACTTGGGCCCCCTCCTGTCCCTCTCTTGGACAGAAGCTTTCTTTTCTTTCCCTCAATAAATATATTCCCTCTTAAAAAAAAATAAATGGCTGTTATTGTTCTTTCTTCAAAGTTAATAAAATACTTAGAGTTAAATATTATGGTGTGTTATAGAGAAAATGGCATGAATTATATTTGAAATGACAAGATCCTTTTAAGTGACTTTCTGGTCTGAGAATGGTTAGAGTTGTCTGTGGTTTGAATCTTCCTGCTGTGAGCAGAGATCCATTAAAAGGCAAAAAGCATCCTTTACTTCAAATATTAGAGTTGTGGGTGAACCACATTATATCAGACTTTGTACCTGAAGAAGGGAAACCCAAAGGGCTTGAGGTGCATTTGGTGGTAGACTGTGTTCTAGGTATGTGTGGGGCTTTGGGTTCCTTCGCCAGCGCTGCAAAAGTAAGGAAGGAAGGAAGGGAGGGAGGGAGGGAGAGAGGGACAGAGAGAGAGAGAGACACACAGAGAGAAGGGAAAAGCCAGATTGCAGTGAGCGGGTAGAATATAGCGCAGATTTGAATTAATAAGTAGCCCAAGGGAGCTACTGTGTAATCTGCAGCTAGAAGTGCTGCTTCTCTGTGAGGGTACATGGCAGGGAGACCTTACAGATACTGAGATAATGCAAATGATCTGTTAAGTATCTTTTGTTTACATTTGCTAATTGCAGAGTACTTTTATATGTATAAATATTAGTTCATGTCATATTGCTTTAGTGGCATCAATTCACATGGTTGTATTCACATTTTATCTGCTCCCCTGTATTATAAGACATGGGGACAGGAAGCACGTTAGTCTCCTCATGTGATCTACAATAGGTTGTACTTGGTAAGCATTCATGGTTTGCTTGTGATGTGCTACTGGGAAATAGTAGGCCGTTTTCTTTGTTTTGTGTCTGGTTTCCTTGTTTGCAGGAAAGAGTAGGTTAGAGCACGAGTAGATACGAACTAGCAAGAACTGGGCAAAAGAGGGTTGGGGTTCTGGGAAGGTCCAGAGTGGGGCTGTGTTACCATCTTCCCAGTTCTTCCCCTGCATCCAGTGAGGTCTTTGCAACTGAGTCTTCCCCTTCACCTCATTCCGAGAGGGAATTAACCGTTTTGTGGATGAACAACCATGACCTCTTCAGTTTCTCAACCTCATCTCAAAACAATGACCCTGCTTTTACTCCAGTGCAGCCACAAACTCTCATGAACACAGCCTCAATATCTACACCACCTCAGAAATCTAGTATTCTGATCTCAGTCTCCTTTCATTGCTACCATCATATACTCTCTGCAAATCTGTTTTGTTTTTATTTTTGAAGGGTGACTATTTTATTAGTAGCAATAAAGAAAAATAGTAAAAGTAATAGCAATAGTAAAACAAGCTTTTCTTTATTGAGTACTTACTATGTATCAGGTACTATGGAAAACACTTTACAGGGCTAATCTTACTCTGAACAGCACAATAATCCTATGAGATAGGTCTCATTGCTACTATTCCCATTTTACAAATGAGTACTCTGAGCCTCCACATGTTTAAGTTTGCAAAGATCCCATAGCCAGTAAGTGATAAAGCCAAAAGTCTGACTTTAGAACTGGAGCTCTTAACTACTATGCTGAACTACTTTGGTGTGGAATTTTTTTTTTTTTTTTGTCTTTTTGAGACAGGGTCTCACTGTGCAGTTCAGGCTGGCCTCGAGCTCACTTTGTAGCCCAGGTTGGTCTCAAATTCACAACGTTCTCCTGCCTCAGCCTCCCGAGTGCTGGGATTATAGCCGTATGCCATGCCCAGCTTCTTCTGTGTGGAATCTTAAAAATATATATAATTGAGGTCAAAATATACTATAATTTCATTTTGAGAAACCAAGTAAAGTGCAATGTAAAGACAGTTTCATAAAGAACCCCTTATAGCAAATCTGTGGTTATGTTTCTAATATGTTCTGAAATATTTGTCCTTGCATACTAATCTTATATTGTTTCAGCATCTTGTTCAGGTTATGAATTTTTCTTCATCTATATGCTTGTGAAATGTGCCATTAGCACTGAACAAGCATATGTTCTTTATTATGTTTGACTCTTTTCATGTTGAAATAGTTATTAAAATAACATATAGTTTCTGTATTTTCTTTGTTAGCCACTAGTATTTTTACAACAAATAGTGCTTCCATGTTAGTGTAAAGAGACATATTGAAATTTTCAATAGTCTTATTCTGTTTTTATTATTTATTTATTTTTGAGACAGGTTCTTGCTATGTAGTACAAGCTGGCCTTTAACTCACTATGTAGTCTAGGCTGACCTCAAACTCAAAGCAGTCCTCCTGCCTCAGACTCCTGAGTGCTGGGATTATAGGCATGCACCACTATGCCTGGGTATTGTTTTTATTTTTTTCGCAAGTTATCAACTGTGACAAAATATTAAATATGAAATATTCCCACTGTGATCTTGGTGACATATCGAAGTATAACGTCATTGTTTAAGAGAAGTTGAAAAGCTTTTTAAAGACTTCCTTGTCTTGTTGGACGTGGTATAGTACATGTGCTTGTGGTCCTAGCTCTTGTGAGAGAATTGCTTGAGTCGAAGACAGTGATGGCAAACCTTTTAGAGCTTTAAATGATACAAATACCCTGCTGTGACACACATGCCATAGGTTTAGCACCACTGGTCTAGGAGCTAGAGACCAGTCTTGGTAACATAGTGAGACCCTGTCTCAAAAAATAGAGACTAGCTTGTCTTAATGAACAGCCCCCCTCTTCTCCTAAGCCCTGGTAACTACCATTCTATTTTCTGTTTTTGGGATTTGACTACTTTAGATACTTTATAAATGAAACCACTTAGCATTAATATCCTCAGTGTTTATCCATGTTGTAGCATGTGACAAACTCCTTCCTTTTTGAAGGTGAGCAATATTCCATTGTCTCAATGGAATGTATATATTGCAGTGTATGTATATATTGCATTTTATTCATTTATCGATTGACATATGGGTTGCTTCCCCCTCTTAGCTGTTGTGGTTATTGTTGCATTGAATACGGGTGTTTTAGTTATCATTTGGAGGTCCTGATTTCAATTCTTTTGGGTATAAACTCAGAAGTAGGATTGCAGATAGTCCTATTCTTAAATTTTTTTTAGATTGCCTACTGTTTTCCACAGCAGTTGTACCATTTTGTAATTTTACCAACAATGAAAAAGGGTTCCAGTTTCTCCACATCTTCATCAGTGCTTACTGATTGCAACCCATCTGATGGGTATGAGGTGCTGTCTTATGCTTTTGATTTGCATTTCTCTAATAGTGATGTTGAGAATCTTTTTGTATGTTTATTAGCCATTTGTAGATCATCGTTGGAGAAATATTTATTTAAGTCCTTTGCCCATTTTTAATTGGCTTCTTTGCTTCTTTCTTCTTGTCACTAGGACAAAATGCCAGCTCCCACAATTTAAAGGAGAGGTTTATTTTGACTCACAGTTTGTTGAGGTTTCAGTACATAGTCAGTTCACTCCAAGGCAGAGTGGTATGGCAGAGGAGAGACAGCTCATAGCATGGCAGGCAGAAATCAGAGCAGAGATCAAGTGAGGAGGGAGAGAGACAGACCCTTCAAGGCCATGCCCCCAGTGCTCCACCTCCTCCAACCAGGCTTCACCTCCCAGCATCACAGTTAGCTATCAAGTCCCTATGATCTAGTCACCTCCTCAAAGCCCCCTACCTATGAGCCCAGCCAGATATAAGCCATAACTGCTTAATTTTTTGTTATTATGAACATTTTATATGCTAATTTTCCATCTATCTTCTTTGGTATAGTGCCTTTTCAGATCTACCACCCATTTCTCTTTTTCTTTCTCCTGAGAGATAGGAGGGGTCCCAAATGGGTTGCTGCAGACCTGTGTCTTTTTTTGAGACAGGGTCTTGCTTTGTAATTCAGGCTGTCTTGAACTCACTGTGTAGCCCCTGCTGGCCTGAAACTTGCAGTAAACCTCCTGTCTCAGCCTCTTGAGTGCTGAGATTACAGGCATGTGCCACCATGCCCTACTTGCTTGCCTCTTTTTTCTCCTCTCTTCCCCTCCCTTCCCTTCTCTCCCTCCCCTCCCTTCCCCTATCCTCTTTCTCCCTACCACCCTCCTTCCCTCCCTCCCTCCCTTCCTTCCTTCCTTCCCTTCCTTCCTTCCTTCCTTCCCTTCCTTTCTCTCTCTCTCTCTCTCTCTCTCTCTCTCTCTCTCTCTCTCTCTCTCTCTCTCTTTCTCTTTTTCTTTCCTGCTTTCTTTCTTCAGACAGGGTCTCCTGATGTACAGAGTCCACCAAAAAAATGGATACACACTTCAGGAAAAGAGAAACTTGTATAAACATCATAATACTAAATTTATCAAGACATCAAGAGATTCAAGTTACCTTTTGCCTCTACAATTATAAGAAGTGCTCAAATTGGTGGCCATTGCCATCCAGACATTTATCAGTATGGCAAACTGTTGCTTGGGTAACCTTGGGCATTGAGATAGCTGCACGTGCATTTTCAATTTCTTCGCTAAGGTATAGTGGGGTTTTCTGCAATATGCAACATCCTTTAGGGTCCCCCCTGTGAAGGTAACACCAGCTGTTGAGAAAACATCATACTATTTTTCTTTTCCTCAAATGTGTATACATTTTTTGGTGGACTCTATAATTCAGGCTGGCCTTAAAGTCATGGCAGTCCTCTTGCCTCAGCCTCCCAAATGCTGGGATTACAGACATGCAACATGACACCTGGCTCTTTCACTCATTTTTAAAAACTGAGTCTTTATTGTTGAATGTTAAGGGTTCTTGATGTAGTATTGTTATCAGCCATTTATCAGATAAGTGATTTACAACATGACCCAGAATGTAGTTTGTCTTCATTCTCTTAAAGTATAGTGCCTTTCCATACCAAAGATCATGAAGATTTTCTTCTGTAAGTCTTATATTTAACATTTAGGTCTATAATCCATTTCAAGTTATTTTTGTATAATGTGTGAGTTGTATGTCAGTTTTGCTGCTTACAGATGTCCAATTGTTTCAATGCC